AAAAAAAAAAAAAAAAAAAAAAAAAAAGCTCGTAAAAACCGAAAAAATTTACATTTAACAGTAGTTTTACTCTGCATATGCAATTTGAAAGTAGACTCATTACCGTAATCAATTAGTATTTATAAATTTTTTTTTACTGTAAAATTGCGCCAGTTTACCTCAGAAAAAAAAACTATTGTACTGAAATGTAGTGAGGTCTTGCAACAAAAATAAAATGTTCAAAAAAAAAAAAAAAGTAAATTCAATTTTCTATGAATTATTGATAGAGTTTATCGTAAGATGAATGCTTTACAGATCAGTCAATGTACTTAGCAAATGTTTAGATGTATACTGCAGCAATGATGACGACAATCTGCAGATAAAATGCTAAACTGAAATATAATTTTTCTAAATTTACCAATTGCTGTGATTAATAATGATTTACGAAAGGAACTTTACAGAATCTGAATCAAACTTAGAACAGATGTTTCAAATACCAGGTGAAAAGTGACTGTACATTTGAGTGTTTTGTAGTTGTGAAAACAAATTTGTGCTAAATTAAAACTATATGACTTGATGCGAAAGGATATCTGACAATTTTTTTAGTACATATATCAACAATTTATCCACTTTAATTTTTCTACTCAGTGCTTCTATAGGTCAGTGTAAAAGATAGTACACGTGATTTGCAGTGAATGATTTGCATAAAATAAACACCTGAAAACAATTTATTAATCAAAGTCTTGGAAAAATTTATAAAACTAAAATCTACGAGATATATTTGACAATGAAATATTAATAGTTAGTGAATGGTATGTAAAGTATGAGGTTTATCAGCATACAAGCAAACACTGAAAGATTCTACGCCTTGAAGCATGTGTCCTCTAATTACAAATTTGCTTTGACATCTGGAGTTTCCCACTTCGTTTCAACGGGGTCAAACTTCCAAAGGTCAGGCTGGCCAACATGTTTGACTTTCGTGTTCTGAAAGAATAAAAGAGTTTTATTTTTTTAGTTTATCCAAAAAATAGATTTTTTTTTTAAAAATGTCTCAATCGGTGATTAAATGGTAATCTTTCATGATGTAAACTCAGGTAACATAGACAGCTGGTATAAAAGGTTTTGATCAACATCTAAATTGACACTTACAAAATCAAAAGTGCTCCATCTGAAGGGAGGAACATTATCATAGGTTGGGCCACCAATCGCTCGAAATCTTAAGTTTTTAAATAACGCATAATTTGTTCCCTAAATTTGTAAAGTTTATTATTATATAAACTAATTAGAAATCTGGTGCTATATGAGGAAACACTTTGACTAACTGATAAACTTTACTTTATAGTCTAAAGCGCCATGATTAACGTGACCCATTCCGCTAAATGGATATGTGCCATTTGCTGGATTCAAGTCACCACGAGCAGATATTGCTGCCTCAGCTGAATATGGCGGAGTACAGTTACATCTACTGAACTCATCTCGAGTATAATCGTTATACCTTAATATTTGTTGACTTTTCACTATAGTTGCTTTCAAGAAAAAAAGAATTCCAAAGTGTAATTCAGCTTTTAGAATATAAAACAAAATTTGATTTTTCAGCTTATTTAGAAAAATCTTCATTGTAAACCTCATTAATCGGGTGAATGAATCTAAATCAACAACTTTATGATGGTCTCGATCAAAGATCAGTGCACGTGGACATTTACCCCAACGAAACCAGTCACCCCAAATATCTGCCTGAAAGAATTAAAACTAATTGGGAAACGTTAATTCTGCTGTATAAATAAAGTTGTTAACATTAAGCGTAATTAGGAAAACAATTTTTGTTTTTCAAAAACTTACGTATTTGTCAAGACGACTAATTTTTGTAATTTTTTTGAAATAAGCCAAGTTATAGCTTGGAAAATAGCTGTACTTTCGAAGAAACCAAGTAAGATCTTGATAAATAATATGACCACTAAAAAAGCAATTTTTATTAGTGGTAAACTTCTGTTAATATCTGCAAAAAAATAAAAATGTTTCAATTTTTTATTACTTTTAGTAGTCTAATCATACAGTAACGGTGAAAAAGAATGAAACTAAAGAATAACTGTCGTTAGTTTCAGTGTTGTTAAACTTACGGCAATTGTTCAAGCACATTGAGTAAACCAAAATAGGGTAATTCTTTTCCTGGTTTAAACTTTTTATAGTCAACAACAACCCACTGATTATTGTAGGTACCAGAATTGTAACGCGAAAATATTTTACACCATTCACTACCATTGTTCGCTAATTCATTTGCAACTTTTACCCGTATCCACATAGGAATCTGCAAATTATTTTCAAATATTTTAATTTGTTATCGAATGTTATTAAATCGCTACAAATAATTTTGTTTCATAATTTTGCAGCTAATAATTCAGTATTTAGAAAAATTTACTAAGTTATTTGTGCTGTAAATTACCTATCTTTTATTATCAAAAAGAAAGATTTGCTGTACAGCTATTTTATCACTTTTTCAAAAAAGAAAGATTTAGTGGCAAAATGCTGGCGATGAGTGGCCGAGATTTTAAACTTATCGTCAAAACATTAAGTGAGCTAAATTTTTTCTGCAAACAATTTGAATAAAAAATAATTTAAATAAGTGCTATTTTGAGCAGCATTTTTACCTGTTCTTCTGTTTTGATAAGATTATATAAACTGTTGTTGAACAGTTTTATTGTAGTTTCTAGAGCAGCCTGCAAACGCAGAAGCATTCAGTTTTGATGATTAAGATTGAAAAGTAATTTTAAACGAATAGGACTAAACTACCAGCTAAAAGTAAGACGTAATCAATTAGAATTTTAGAAATAAAGTTTTATTCTTTTTTTTTTTTGCTTTGATATAATTATACTGTGGTTTAATAGCACATACCAATCCAGAACTTAATAGAACAAAATCATCAGACGAATAGATCATCCCGGGATAGCTGGAAAATGAATAGGTATGTCCAGGAACAGTCTTTTTGTCTAAAAAACAGCTTTATTTGATCTCTCTTCTAACTTAATTGATCAAATAAAATAAAAAATAATAAAATTTACGGTGAGAGGAATAATTACAGCATTGGCGTTATTTATTGTAGATATGTCTCATTTAGTTTACTGACGCTTTTTCAAGAAAGGAAAACTAATTTTACATAAAACAGTTCTCATAATCGAATAAAAATTTAGTTTTTTCTAAAGCCAAAAAAAGTTTATCTTTATAGAATAAAGTTGCACTTTTCATCTCACAAAATTTCTTTATTTTACTGTAAGTTTTTATTTTGAAGAAAACTGACTTTTTGTTCCAAAAATTGTTTTTACCAATATAGTTTATGGTCGGGGAAATAACAGCTACATGTGCATATAAAAGACCAAAAATCTTTCTTTTTTGACAAAACTACGCTGTATTTCTGAAAATAAGTTTTCTCATCTTGAAGAAGCGTCAACATTACAAAAAAGAGATTACTTTTGTTTTGTTTCATTTCTCATTAAAATTTTATAGAATAAACTAATAAAAAAAATACTGCAAATGTGATTACACATATAATATCAGCGATCGCTGCGCTACTTCTGCGCAGTTACAAACCATATAGACAAAATCTGCCAGAGTGTTCACCAAAAACTTGGCGTTTTTTTAATTCTTTTAAAATTTGAATATTAATTTAAAATTATATCGTCAATTTTGATAAATTAATAATGCATTTAAATTTTTTTTAACAATTACCAAAAGAAAATTTGTAGAGTTTTAATACACGCGTCATATAGTGAAAACCATTCATTGTCACTTGCGAAAAAAACAGATCTGTATTATTCAGTGCAACCTGCAGTCAATGCTTTAAAGTAGATTTAAAATTTGCTATCAATGTTTAAAATAATAAACCATACAAAAAAAAGTCTTAAAAACTTTTAAATTTTATAATTATAAGCTGAGCCAACAACAACAAACTGCTTACTTTAACCAAACCAGAACATCTTCCATTTTCAGTTGTCGGATCCTGTGTTTTGTTAAATTTTTTTTCCAAATCAAAAAATTCTCCATTGGAATTGATCATGCTGTAGTACATTAATAGTAGTTAAAAAATTTTTTAAAAATGACTGAAAGAAGGAGTAGGCAATACATAAACTAAGGTTTCTGAAAACAAACAGAATAGGATGTATATCAAAAGAGATTGTTGGTGACAGCGGTGTACCATCATAGCCATGATAAACGCCAGTCAACTGATACAATGTTCGATTTACCTAAACTGGTGCAAGATTTTTTGCATAGAATATTGCAATCATAAACAAAAAACTTTTATTTCAAGCGGTCGACAATAATTTAATATACCTGTTCTTGAAAAA